GCCTCCAACCTAAGAGCGATGGCCTCCAACCTAAGAGCGATGGCCTCGAATCTAAGAGCGATGGCCTCCAACCTAAGGGCGATGGCCTCTTGGAAGTTGGAGACCCTCGCCCTCGTCGGGGCCCACTTAGGGGGATCCGTAGGACAAAATGAGGGAACGAATGGGATACGATGTCGAGGTGGGGTACTAGTACTCCACACCGTGCCACCAGTTCGTGTGCCTGTGGAATTGGTGCATTGAGTCCTGGGATCTTCAAGTTTGGATACGCTGGAGGCGGTCCATAGCCTGAGGATTTGACATCACGAGTTGGGCCCATGAACTTAACTCTTCACTCAAAACAGACTGCAACTCTGCAGTGCGCTTCAACGCACTGACCCTCTCGATCCCCCTAAATGCTTGTGACCTGTGGCTCCCACGCTGCATATTGAAGAGCCAGGGCCTGGTTTCTCCACATCCAACAGGTGCGGAAAGAACAAAGCAGTGACTGAGTGACCAAGTGACTACTAAGTGACTACTAGTTAGCAATCACCCCAGATACAAGGAATGGAATGGCTAATGAGTCTCAGGCGGAGGAGCTCCATCATCCATTCCCAAAGCCTGGCCACAAGTTAGAGCCGATCAAAAATGCGTGACAGAGGTCTTCCCCAAAGCGAGCCTCTCTCAATGCTGCGCTCAGGTGCCCAGGCCTCACTTGAGTGCCGAAAAAGCATTGAGAAACCAGGATGGCGTTTCTGTCATGCTACTTAAGGATAGTTTCGGATAGTTGAAGGATTAATGATTTTTAATTCTTGGCCGAATACAAAAAAAAATCAAAAAATGTTGGAAGCGGCCTTTTGGTCAGCATCTTGGTCTCGTACTCCTGAACAGAATCAACAAAAGAATAGGTTCGAGTATCTTTGCTTCCTTAACACACTCTGTAGAACTCTAATAATTGCTGAGACAGCGCTACTGGCTCTACCATGATTGAGTTGCATCTCGTTCATTCCTCCAGAGCACCGAAATATGTGTTCAAAGGTTTGTGAAAAAAGAATCTCGATCCTTGCCCTCGTAGTACATGTCATTGTGCTTCCTAACCAAGCTGTGTCATCACGACGCTGAGGCTGGTTTGTATCTGTGAATAGCTCAACAAAAACGTCAATATCCAAGTGTCGATAGCTTGGGCTTGTTGGCAAACTTAAAGAAGGCGTCATGCAAAACCTCAACCAGAAGCTTGACTGTCCAAACTGTCGCGTGGAGAGTTCCAGAGATCCAACAAGTTCCAGAGATCTGTGTTGTGCATGCATCAATTCGTCTACTGTAGGTGCTAGAAGCCTGCCTGGTAGTCAATGTCTAGCTTTCCCATTTTTGGGTGAACCCGCTCTCGACTCTTCTGCCTGAAGGACATATCGGCCTGCCCACAGCATGACAAGTCAGGTTCTAAGGCGAAAGGTGCCATGTGCAATAACTCCCAACTGCATACGATGGATGCCATATTTGTGCCGCCTGCTTCTCCATAATCGCCTAGCATGACCAGAAAAACTCGAGAGCAAATCTCAGAAGTGCCTTGCAAGAGAACAATTCTCTTGGCCTGGCGAATCTTGGCAATGCCAGTTGATTCGATGAAATCAGGCAACTTGAATGGAGGCCTCATGAAAGGACATTGATCGGCAAACGTCTAGAATTTGAAAGAGTTGATAGTTGGTATGGCATGATCCAAAAAAATACAAAAGTCTTAGGTGACAACTTCTCAACGCCCCGCTTGCCGGCCATATACTTGCGCTTGCCTGAGGACTCAGGAAAGGGAATGAAAAAGAAGGAAAGGGAGGGAGGGAGAGGGAGTAGGGACATGGAAAGCGAAAGGATAAGGGAGAGAGAGACGGAGAGAGTGCAAAAGCTTTGGAAGCAGTACACAACACAAGCCAAATGAGGCTGTTGCTGCTCCAGTGTCGGGGCACAGCCACAGTATTTCGGTATGCCTGTGTCATGTGCAAAGAGATTAGTTGGAGAAGAACATCTATATATGCATTTGTGCACAGCCTTCAGATAGACTAGCAAGCGTGGATCAGAAGCTGTTGTATCCTTAGTCAGATTCATGCTCACTAAATCGTGCCCGCTTGTTGGTCGAGGACCTTTTCGCACTCAAACTAAAAAGGTGTGCCATCTCAGTTCAGCACCCAAACTTCAACCACATCCGGACGCTTGACCAAGGTCTTCAGCTCGGCAACAGACATTCGGTTTTGCACCTTACGTCACTATGGAGGTCATGTGGTGACCCAGCAGAAGTCTGTGTGAGACCATATTGGGTAGGTAGGCCTGAGAGAAGCCACATACACCGCTTGAACAAGTGGTCGCACCTTTCGCTTCTTCTTGGACATCTTTCCCGCATCTTGATCATCATCATCGCTGTCCTCAGACACAATATACGACCAGTACAATACCAAATGAATATGCAACCTGTACTTTGCACCTTTCCTACGCTCTGAATTGCACTGAACTTTGTCACATCCATTGGATGCCTGAAGTTTTGTTCATGTGACTTATTCAGCTTGCGATTCCTCCAAACTCTGCTACTTGAACTTGATTTGTGCCTGTCTCTATCTTGAAAGTGCTATTGTTCTCAGAATGGCAAGTCCATACCTTTGTTTCACGTAATCTCATTGTATCAAACCCGTGTGTCAGTCCTCCGCCTCTTCCAACAGGGATGCCTTTGGCTTTGCGCGCTTCTGCGGCTTGTCCTCATCCTCATCAGCCTCGTCCTGATCAGGTTTTTGACTTATTGCTGCTGACTCTAGAGAGTCTAGACATTGTCATGAAGGGTGCCTTCGGAGTAGGCTCAACGTACTTGAACCTTTCCATGATTGCAGCGAAGGTTTCATCTTCTGGCTGATCGTTGCCCGCAAGAACCTCTGGTACTACCTCATTGCATGGGTTTGTTGCGTCGCGCCAGAAAGACTCTCGGCAAATCATCACATGTTCATGGATTTGTCAGCCCCAAGGTCCAGGCGTAGTCTACCTGCAAGAAGAAAATGCAATGTTAACGTAAAGTCAGCTAGGAATCAGCTAATATGCCTCCATTTCATCATCATCCTTTGGCTTGCTAATCAAACCAGGTGTCTTGCCCACCGCCTTCACGGGTCACAAGAAACTCAAAAAGAAAGCATGAACTCAAGCCGTGGGCCCGGTCCAGCCTTGCCCTTCGCAGCTTTGCCCTTGCCTTTGGTCGAGCATCGAATGAAACCGATGTGTTGATTTCATTCGTCCCTGGCCTTTGGCAGTCTTGCCACCACCTTTCCCTGGAGGCTGCACACCAGCCTCTTTGTATTCCTCGGCCTTTGCAGCCTCACTTTCGACGCCAAAGAGTCCCTCACACTAACCCGAAGTTTTTTCAGTTCAAATCAGTTTTGTGAAGACACTAGACTGATTGGACGAGTCTGAAGTTTAGAAGAAAAATTGTGGCCTTCTTTTTTTCTTTCAGTTTCTTTTTCTTCTCATTTTTTCGCTTTCGCTCTTTATCCTCTCTTTCCTCAGTTCACCATGGCACGAAAAAATACACTCTGGGTGTTCACCATTTCTGCTTTCTGAATATAGGTCTCTGGCTCTTCTTTTCTTCTCAGCCGGATCCAATGCATCCGCTGTTTCTGGCTCAGCTGGCTTAGTTGGTTTTTCTTCACCCTGCACCGCCTTGGTTTCTTCGGCGTCCTTCTTGGCGGGTTCCTAGCAATGAGACTGATCCATCTTCCACAACAAAAACGCAACAAAGAAAGACAGAAAGAAAAGGTTCCTCCACCGCTGAAAAACTTGGCAAGGGTGCGTCGAAACTTGGCAAGGGTGCCTGGAAACAGTGGCAAATGTCTAAACAAAACTGGTAATGGGATGCGAGGCCAGAGTTTGTTTCCTTGCCTCCTCTTCTGCCATGCTGTCACATGTGAGACCGCTCGCAACCACGGTCTGAGCCAAATGCTGTGAGCACTTCTTGCGCTGGACATGCAAAGCATGCATCTACAAGGACGCTTTGTAATCATTGTGTTTTAAAGTTCCAAGCAATCCATGATCCCTTCACTGGTTTCTACACAACAATGCCATATTTTTCAGCTGAAACGGCACCTACTAAATTATATAGATGCCGCTGCGTGTCCACCAAGAACTCAAAACAAAAACAAGAATAGAATCCAGTTCCAAACCGCAAAATGACAAATGGGTTGTGGTTTGTTGCGAATTGACGAACTCAAAACACGGAAACCTATAGTTCACTGGGTGGCATGCATGTTCTTCCCTTTGGTGTGGTTTGGGCACGATGGGGGGCACGTCAAATGCTTGGCCCCAAGACCATTGTCACCAAAGCCACCCACAATAACGTCAATAATCTTCCAAGAGCTGGGAATCGAGTGGATTGTTCCCCTCCCCCCTGTAATAAAGAAATGAAGTCGGCGTTTAGTCAATGCGGCCATCCAATGAAAAGAATCACAGCAATGATTTTTTTCTTTGGAACACATTTGATGTTTTTTGTTTTGGTCCATTTTGTTGGAAGCTGGTGTTCCAGTTAGTGCAGACCACCGGACTGTTTTTCGGCACTAAATTTCCTGAATTTGCCAAACCTCACCGTGAAACGCCATCAATCGTGAATTGTTGTGTTTCTGCTGAAACTCGTAAAAACTGATGCCAACTGTGTTGAATATCTTGGTCATGCAATCACTTTCCCTTTGGTATTCTCGTGCTTTTGCTGATGCTTGCAGCGGCACAAAAATAACACACAGGCACACAAGTGGTATGCAAGTTCGAAACGCATGACGACAAAGGCAGGCAACCACAAAATCACAGTGGGAAACAAAAAGAAAACGGACTTCACAAATTACACCATCATCGACCCCAAACAGCACTTGTTCAGTTGGCTAGTTTTTAAGAAACGTGGCAAACACAAGCAAAAACACGGCTGTAGTTCCTGTGCCTTTTGAACCTCGCTCTAGAGGGTCTCCGACGGTCTGCGGCATGTGCGTGTCATCCTTGCGCAGGTGAATGGTTTCTGTTTGCAACTCCTCCTTGACACTTGCGGCTGTCTTCGCGCCGTCCAGTGTCATTTCACAAGCGCAACTCGGGACTGTCTAAAAAGGGCTCATGGATCTCCATTTCATGGTTGATCTTGGGGTCTTCCACATTTCTCTGTCGACCCCACCAACGCACCTCAAGAGCCTGCAAATGCTTCTGAGCCCTGAACGTCCCGCTGGTGTGCACAAATTTCCACGCTCGCGGATTGTGTTCATGATCCATGCCTTTTTGGCATCATAGCCATCGAATTGTCATTGATCACTCCACCCACAGCTCTGTCTTGATCAGACTCTGTGGTTGCCATGCTGGCATGTCAAACGGAGTCCGCACTATTTTGACACGAAACGCTACCGGTCGAGTGCATACTTCACATGGCAACAAGAGGTGTCCTTAAGTTAGTCTATACATCTTGCCCCCCCTGCCTTGATGTTGAACGCTCTAGTTCATACATCATTACATCATTGACGGATATCACGTTCAGCGAAGTGACCACAAAAAAAAATCATCCATCTCTTTCATACAGTTACTATGTAACTAACGTTCCGGTATCTTTTCAGACACCATTTCCACAAAAATTGTTGTTGATTCCATCCTACAACGCAACCAACTTGCACTGCTTTTCGTTGCGCAACAAATCTGTCGTTTGCTATGTCCGTGGTTCAGTTGGAGCACGGTTATAGTCTTCCATGCAACACGCATTGTAAATTGAATTGCTCACCATCAAAATATTGAATCTCTCAATTCTCAGGAACTGTGTGTTCCTCATTGTCTGTCGCAACCTCCTCATTCGAATCCTCGTAATTGGACTCTTCACTGCTCAAATGATGCAATGCTTGCCAATATTCAGCATCTGAACACTCCTCCATCGGAGCATCCATGTACCTCCGGTACCTCTCTGCTGTATATTCACTGTTTGGAACATCGCTATCTTCCTCTTCATTCTCTTCGTCAACTCAGCTGACTCTCCAACTCCGGTTGCTGCCACTTCTTCTGTCTCCATCTCTGTGCCGTAGTTCCCGCCAGGGACTTTGTGTTCATTGAAATAACCATCTTCTGATCTCAATTCTGCTTCTGGTTCTTCATCTGGAGGGCGAGGACATTCTCCATCAGACGACTGACTGTCTGGAGCAAGGTCAGTCATGTTGTAAGCAAAAAATGTGAGCTCTGTTCCTCACTTCTGGTGTAGGTTCTGCTTCCAGCGCAGCCAAGGTCATGTGCAAAAGCGCTGCCGATTCAGGGGTATGCGTTCCTTTCCGCAGCATCCATTGTATCACGACGCCGACCCATGACCCTTCCTAGCATCCAATAGATGAACCGTTCAGGACTCCACACATTCCAACGAGCTGGAATTGTTGGGGCATTGGAAAGCGTGGTACCATCTGGTATCTACTTTCTCACATTGTGTGAGTCTTGAGCATCCTCTCATGTTTGGCCGCTGCTCCTATCAGAGTTTCGCTCTGTACATCAGGGTGACACATGGTGAAACAAGGGAACTGCTGCAACTTGCTACCCGGGCCTCGAATTCACGATTAAGCTGCTGTCCATGCCTGTGGAGTGGCCTTGTGCGTTCAGCTTAGTTCGGACTGGCCTGATCACTGGCGCTTGCCAACGGAGTGCTCGAAAGCACTCCAGCATTTGTGAAGAGGCAGGATGTCAATTCAGCAGTTTGCGAATGGGGAGCAGTGCCTGAGGGTTCCCAAGGAGTGCGGGTTATCTTGAACTTGCTCGAGTGCAATGCAGTTCTGGCCTTGGAAAACAGTCAGCGTCTGGTCACAATCGTTTCACACATTGCAATGGCAGAAGAAGCTGTGGCCTGTGGCGGGCGTTTGCCGATGCAGGGCATTGCTTGCAAGTGCGCCAGAAGGCGCCTGACAAAACCTCCCTCAACAGAGGGAGGAGTCACGCACATTTCCAGCAAGCTCCTCAACAGCTAAGCCTTCGGGAGTGCGGGAAGTGCGCGAGATGCTATCCAGGAAGGATAGCGTTGCCATTCATCAGTAGGTTCGCCTCCTTCACGCATGGCCCTTGTGAAACATTGTGAAACGTGAAAAGGCTGGTATGGTGCCATATGCCCACTTGCGAAAAATATCGGGTAGCAACCTTATACGGTAGACTACCTACTCCCCCTGGATCTTTAGCTCACAACAGGCTCTCACACTCGTCCGGTACGGTACGAAACCTTTCCTTCAAACCTCCGAACACTGCGGAAAACTTCAAACGCTGCACAAGCTGCTCTCAGACACTCGCACCCTTTTCTCACACTGGCTAAACGAAATGACCTTGATCCAAAATATATCCCGTAGCATTGAACTATACAAAGAACACATCAAAAACATATTAAAAGTCTCTTAAAGTATCTCCACGCGCAAAGAACTCCTTCAAAACTTCCGACGACGCTACAAGTCGCTTTCAAACAATTAAGAAACAAAATGTTGTACTACCGCCAGGTTCCAAATCTTTTACAAACAAACTCAAACGAAAATTATGCATCGCAAACTGCAAGCATCGAGCGAGGTGGACATCCCGACATGGAATTTCTTCACCCCCTCTTGGACACAAAGCTCGAAACGAACTGGCTGACTTCAAGCCTTCTTATTCTTCTTCAATGAGGACAGACATTTGGCGCAAATCTCTTTCGACATAGGTACGCGCATGCCCGAGCAAGTTGGGTTCAAATGAACCTTGCTCCCACTCACTGAAAAATACACCTTTGAACATTGCTCAATGCCTTTCGGAACTAGTAAGATCTTCGGCATCTCGAATTTAAAATTCACTTGGCTCTCAGGCTCAGCAAGCTTCCGACGCCGCAGGCAGCAGCAGGTCAGCAGGCATCCCACAAAGAAAACCGACTGCAAAGACCAAAGCGGCCACTGCTTCCAGGCTAAGCGCCGCAAGCGCCGTTTCCACATCCAGCATCATACCTCGGATGGTATAAGCTTCATTCCAAGAAAAGCTCTATCTCACAGTCTGCCAAAACCAAGATTCTTTCGAAATGTGCAATCGAAAGTGCTCGCAAAAACGTGCCATTCGGCTCAGACAACGTGCAAGACTTGCTTGGTTCTTACGCTTCTAATTCGGCTTTAAATCCTTTAAGGATTAGCTCGCAAAACTTCCTGGGGTAATGCTGCGTTTCCTTCCAATTGACTTCCTTGGACGGCAAATGATCACGACGACCATCACAAACGCAAACCTTCAGGCTTTCCAACAATCGGGTACTATCGGTATCAATCCTCCAGGTCTTTCTGATCAATTGACCTTTCTGGCTCAACTTGACTGAACATGCGTCCACAAATCTTGAAACCGTCTTCCGTTTCCTAAGAAAATCTCTAGTCTGATTCCATCCCCAATAAGCACATCTCTTCGGCCATTCAATTCAATCGCTACAAAATCGGCTACTTCCGACATCCGTAAGAAACCTTTCCATAGCTTCTTCTGAATTCGGTACAATTCTCGAAGATGACCCATGTAGTCCTGACCAAATTTCTTGATGCAAATATACTGAAACGGACATCCTCCGGTACACGGAATTGACGACCACAAGACAACAAGCTTTCCTTTCTTCCTGTGGCTCACCATCTGCTCCCGAACTGACTCGATCGTGTCCGATTGGGTTCCGTCATCCGCCTCAGTGATAGTCAATATCTCAACACCTTCGGTACGGTTTCCGACCTCCTTCATCTCGGACTCCGGTGATGCGCAAAACTCAACAATTAGGATTTCGGTACACGTGACCTTATCCATGATCCACAACCATCTCCCGATCCAGTCGTATACGGCACTTCGAATGAAATGAGAAATGCCCTGACAACTCCGATCGTCTCCATATGTTGTAAAGTCACAGCTCTCGACAATGCCTTGGTCATCAGGTCGGCGCAATTCTCCGTGCCTCGGACAAAACTGATGGAAATCACTCCCTTATAGACTGCATCTTGCAAAAAACAGATCCGAATATCTATGTGTCTCACTCTTCTCAACAACCCTGACATCTCTGTGACATTTCGGGCTGCCATCGAATCTGTAAGCAAATCTGGAATGGGTAATTCCTCAGCTTGACGTCCATATACATGTGCCACGGCATGTTGAATACCTATAGTCTCTTTCGCTCCTTCGAACAAAGCATATAGCTCTGCCTCGGCTGAACTATATATACACTCTGCTGCAACCTACTGAATGCTTTGACACGACACTCATTGACGAAGATGGCTGCTCCTGAAGTACTCTTCCGGTTTGTAAACTTTTCGGCTGCCCAACTGGCATCGACATATGTCGTAACCCTTGGTGGTCCTGAGTACTCATAACTTCTGAATTTTAGCTTCCGATCGGCTACTGATCGGATGTAACGGATACTCGCACGCATCGCAGTCTCGTGTACAGCTAGTGGCTGAGATTGGCCTCGGGCAAGCATCAAGCACAACCAACAAAGATCAGGCCTCGACTGAGCTACCCAACTTAGCTTACCTAGCGCGGTTCGAAAGGTTGCTGCTGCCTCGGGCGACAACAGCTTCCGATCTTCCTCCCGATCACGATCATAAAGCTGAAACAAATTGAGGGTCGCTTGACTTTCCTTTCCCCCTGGATACAAGTTCATCATACGTTCATAGTACTCCTTTTCCATGTATAAGGCAATCGTTCCATCTTCTTCCTTTTCGATCACCTTTCCCAGAAAACGAATTCTGTCTTCTTCAAGCTTTCCGGTGACTTTCAGTCTAAGCTTCTTCGATAACTCATCAACGAGCTTCTGAATATTCCGATCGTCTCACCAACAAATCATCAACGTACATCAAAACGATCAAGTGATTCTCCTCTTCCGTCTCTGCAACTCCTTTTCGGTATCTTCCGGCGAAGATCGTCTTTTCCGTCACACACGCTGTCAAACCTTCCCGATCTAACAAGTCGGCTAGGTGACGATACCATGACATTCCTGCAGAGCGAAGTCCGTTCATCGCTTTCTCAAGAATGACGCTCCGTCTTCATCTTCCTCCCAGTCGGTAACGACACGACCGCTGGGTGAATCACGGGGGCGTGCAAGAATGCTGTACTTACATCTAAAACCCATGCTGTCTTTCCAACTCCTCCTTTCTTTGACTTCTTTCGAAAACCTAATTTCTGAGCAAGATAAGCAACACAACTTTCAACGCCTCTGATGACGCTGTAGGGCTTGAAACGCCCAACTCGGCTGCTGACGGACCTGTGGCGAAATCACGGACAACAAGTCTCGATCGAACGATGTCTCCTTTGATAGCATCATGCTTATTTACAACTACCCATCGAGTTGAAATGATTCGGATTCCATGCATTTTGCAATACTCTTGCGCTTCATCTTTATTCACGACCTGACCTGTCCTGTGCTTCTCTAGGGCAATGACCTCTGTGTGCATTCCCTCGAACGTGGCATCCACATCTAATGGACCTTCACCTATATCAGAAGTCGCTCTTGATGGCTTTCGGAGTACAATCCATCTACCACCAAACCACACTTTGCAAGAATCGGCCTTCGCGTCGAACTTGGACTCTTCGGTTTCCTTTGGAACCTTCCTGCTATACTCAAGTACCCCCTCTTGAACTGATGACAAGAACCTTTCAACCTCATCATCCGAACATCTTGACAAGGGGTCTTTCACTTTCTCCCACAACTCTTCACCTAGATCTGATAAGCTCGCAATGGCATTACCTTGATGATCATACATGTAGAGCTGCTTGATTGGCAATTCGGTGAACCCTTTCCAATGACGCCTCAATGGCGCGGTCTGAGTTCCAAACTCGCTGACATGGACCTTGAACTGGTCCCTTGGAATCTCGTCGACTGGCCTTTCATCAACAGCATCAACGTAGTACGTCCTCTGAAGACCTACCAGCTGATCCTCAGGCATCGGCAAAGGCAGTGATGATGCTGCAAAAATACATTTTCGACTTCTGTGGTGAGCTCTTCTCAACACAAGCTTGTCAAGGTCAACTTCCCAATGGTCATGATTTCGGTTCTTCCTTCCCTTAGGGATTCTCTGGAAAAGATCAATGTCCATGGGACTCTCATGGGGTGACTCGAGTGCTCTGAACCCTTCCGGTACTTCTGTCGGCGCATAGCCTTCACTCATCCGATCATCCTCGATAAGTTCCGGATTCTTTCCGGGCTCGTACTGATTCGGTAGATCCTCCTGTATTGGTGTCGGTTCGGTATCCGATTCCTGTCCCTTTGGCGCATGGAATGGAACATCATCAAATTCAGAAAATCTCTCTCCGGTCTCCTCCTCTTCATGCTCGCGATGAAATCTATCCCAGTCTTCATCTATAGACTTTCTCTTTCTCTTCTCTCGTTCTGACTCCGACTCTGGAATTCTTCTTTCCGACTCTCTCTGAGATTCAGGCTTTCCTTCGGTATCCATACCTTCTTCCAATCCCTCAGGCACGACGGGCACAGACGACTCGTCCTCGATCGGTACGATCCGTTTGTACTCTTCTTCAAGATACTTCTTGTAACGGTTCCGACACTTAACTGAATGACCCGTTTCACTCCCGTTCGAACATGAAGTCTTATTCCCTTCACTCCAGTACCAAGGTGGTTCCCCTTCATGGATGGGCAGATCAACCAGCTTCTGGGGTTTCGAAAGATCATTCGGTAGTCTTTCAATCCTGTCTGGCTTCACTCCACTCTTGGAATTTGGAATTTCGCACAACATCCCAAGTCCAGCGACAAAACGAATCGATGAGGCAATCTTCAAGTCTCGAACAGGCACAACCACGGTCGCATCCTGTGAACCTTCGAAGGCAACGAAGTGACCTAACGAAGACAACTTTGGGGTCAAGTAAATGCCTGGAACAAAATGACGAGCGTTTGCTTCTCTGACTTTCTCCAAGTACCCATCAGTCGGCCTTGCAAAAACCAAACATCCAAATGGCATCACACGAGGGGTGTTTGGAACTTCACCTGAATTAGTTACACTGGTGCGCATGCGTTGATACGGTGTCAGTGAACTATTGGCTTGCAGCTGAAACGCATTGTGGACATGACAAGCGTTCGCTGCGGCGTATCGAAGGCTTTCACTACCTAGCATCAACCCGTGCTGGTACAACACTGTACGTATACACCCTAGTTGAGTCTTGAGGGTCCTCACTGCCCTTTCGGCTCCAGTTGCGTGTCTTCCTGGACGGCTGGTCTCATGTATTGAGACGACCTTCAATCGAATGAGTTCAGAAATGAGCGCAGTCAAGTCACGGCCTTCATCACTGAGAACCATCGCACCTGTGGACGAGCAGTGGTTGATGGTAGCTGTCAAAACACGAAGTGTCGAAGCTTGGTCTACATATATTGCAGCTGTTGCTATCATACCATGCGTCCGATTCCAAAGCACAACATACCTATACATATTTGGAGACTTTGGATGGGTGCATAAGTTGGCAATGTCCATCTGGACCTCGTTGGTGACTTGGTCTGAACGTTTCGGCGCTCGTTTCAATCCCTTGCTCATGAGACAGACTGCACAGCTTGGGTCATAAGGTGTGTGACTCTGCAAAATGCGCTTAGATAGTCTGTTACCTTTCAAAGCAACTGGGAATTCGAAGTCAGGTTCACTATCTCCTGTGGACTCTGCTGTGTCAAAAGACTCAAGTTTCTGCGCGCATACGATCTCCTTTTTCACGTCTCAAGTGCGCAAAGCGTCGAAGATCACACTCTCTGCAGGGTGGTTGCATTTCGAAAAACGCGCTCTTATTGTGGAATCTTCCTCCCATTCGGAGGGCTCCTGAATACTGGACCTCGTTGGATCCTGATGATCATCGTCCCTTTCTACTTCTTGGGACGCTTCTTCTCGGACTCGGGCACCTCGTCCGACAGTTTGGCAAGACGCTCGCTCAACTCTTTGCGATAGCTTGCCTCTTCTTCGCTGATCGGTTCTTGGAATGCCTCCGGCGGTGCGCCAGGGATCGGAACATCCCCTGGAGCGGTGATCGGAGACACCGATGCTGACGCCGGCTGCAAGGACACTCTTTTCGCTCTCGCCAAGTTCTCCCTGTCCTGCTCTTCGGTCTTCCATCGAAGAAGTTCCTGCTTCTTCTTTTCTGATTCTTCTTGCTGCTTTCGCAGCTTCTCGTGACGCTCCTTCTCCAACTCGGTACGAGCCTGCTCCCTCGCTTTCCTCCGTTCTTCTTCCTCCTGAGCTTCTCTCTCTGAGGAAAGTTCGGTACGAAACTGATCTTCTGTCAAATGTTCCAGATAGCCCGGTTTCACACTCTTCTTCACACCTGAGGCTGATGCGGTGGACTCTTGTTTCTTTTTGATCCGAGCCTCTTGTATGCGCCTGTATTTCTCTGCAGCCTCTTCTTCCGAGTTGAGAGTATCGATGGCCCTCTTCTCTGCCGCTCTTGCACTCTTGAATTCCGCTGTCGCTCGCTTTGCTTCTGCGAGCTTGGCCTTGTCGACCTCTCGGATCATGTCGGAAGCCTTCTGCGCAAGGTTCTCCTCGGCGATTGCCTTTTGTTCCTCTGTCAGAGGACGGCTCTTGGCCTTTGGCTTGTTGACTGGTACTGCCGATGTCGGTATCCCTTTCGCTTCGGTGGACATTGGAGTCAAAGGCGTCTGATTCGGTCCCAAACTTTCCTTTGAGATGGAACTGAGGCGACCTTTGGAGGTGGCCTCCATCCTGATGGAGGTCCCGGAGGTGGATGTGGACCAATCGGCCTGGACTTTGCCCTCACAGGTGCCTTCTCCTTGGACTTTTCCAAAGCCTTGCCCAAAAGAACACCTTGTCCGATTGGAAGCAATCGTCGAACTTCCTCCGTTTTTGCCTGTACTTCCTCTTCCAGGATTCTCAAATTCTCTTCCGTCAACTGAGCTGGCTCGCGAACAACAGGAGCTGGATCTGGAACTGAGCTCGGGGCTTGAATCTCCGAAATCGAGTCTGTAGACGGGGCAACACTTGCCGACGGCCGCATCACCGAGCGAATTTGAGAGGTGTAGCGAGTCTCTTGCGACGGCTTTTTCTTCATGAAGTATGCCGTACCTGGCTTGACTTCCTGCACCCGCTTGGTCAGGTCTCCACGATCTGTAGCGGATATGCGGAGAACCACTTCGCTGGTCACCTTCTCGTCGCCTACCAATCCCGAAGACGCCCCTTTGCTCTTGGCTCCCTCTGATGAGACTGGCGGCGTCTTTGGCCTCACTGATTCTGCCAACTCCTGTGACATTTCTCCCAATCCGCAAGGTCCGATTCTGTCAGGCTGATGAGTGAGATTCCTCGCATACCTGTGGGCTTCACTTCCACAAATCCCTTGGTCACTCTCTCTGGTGCTTGGGATCCTGATGCTTGTGGTCGACGCTTCGGTGCAACCCATGCTCTGCGCCGGTTCTGTACCATATATTCTCCTTTTGCGGTAACCCGCGATGCTTGACTTTCGCGTTCGACCAGGCGTAACTTCACGGTCCTTTCCATCCAAGGATGCTTGATGTTGCTCGAGGTGCTCTTCAACACCTTTCGAATTGATCCTCTTGGTGTATGCTCTTTTGATAGACGGACCTTTGCAGATGGCCTGTCGCTTCCCTTCGGCTCTCTCTTCTTGGCGTTGTTTCCGAAGAAGTTTCTGACGTTCCCGATTCCTGACTCTCCGGGCTTCTTCCCTTATCGTCTTGCCGACGCAACCATGCGCTCCAAGACTTCATCTTGAACGAAGTCGTCTTCTCTTGCTCGGCAGCTTCTTCCGGATCCTTCTCCTGATCGGTAGGTCCCTCTTTCACCTTCTCTGGAGACTTCGCTGTCTCGAAAGGTTGCTCGGGGATTTCTGGTTCCGGAAGTGCCTCCGGTTCCTTTGCCTTCTCGGTCGGTTCCTGGGGCTTCACTATTACTTCGGTAGTTCCCTCTGGTTCCATTGTGACAAGGACAACTTTTCGTGTCTCTCCTTCTGGCGCGGTACTTCCCTTGACTTCCATCTCGGATGCGGTACCTTCCTTCTGTTCCGATGACTCAATTTCCGTATCCGATTGTTTGTCCTGCACGATAACCGTGCCTGGAGTCGGTTGTGGCAGCTCGCCGCTGACCTCTGTTGGACTCCGAGCTTTCTTCTTCTCTTGGCTCAGCTCCGTGGTCTCGACCCACGCATCCGAAGGCATGTTCCACGCGGAGAAACCTGGGCTGGACAGGGTCTGCACAGTCAATGCGCTCGTGCGCCGAACTTGAACCGTCACGTTCTGCAACACGCAAAGCCGAGTCTCGAACTGCATTGCGCATGGTCGAATGACGAACGACATAGTGCGAACCCGAGTCGACAGCTGACGTGTACTGCAACGAATGAAGTGACGATGACATATCAATGTCGATGGCTCCAGGATGGACAATCGAGATCCAAGGAACATTACACCAAAGAAAAATATCAAGATGGGTTCTGCCACTCCTAGTTCTAGTTGGAACCTGGTCATAACCTCCGAAATGAGAGAGGGACAAACATGGTGGCTTCGCCGGTTCATCTACCTCTCTGGAGGTTCGGGAAACGCTCTTGCAAGGTGAACATGTAAACGTCCAACCTTTGCCGGCAAGAAGAGCAACACTCAACAAACTAATAACCTGTCCGCATCCTATCAGCGCTGTGACTCTGAGCTTCTGCGGCCTCTGCAAGCGGCTGCCAGCACTGAAGCTAAGCGACACCGGCAACAGGCTTGAGCTTGCAGGTGTTGCGGACGGCGGCACGGCGGCTTTCGACGAAGCAGCAGCAGACGAAGCAGCATCAGGCAACGACGCGGCGGCTCCATCGCACCCCGAAAAGCTAACATGCCTACTTCTGAGAGCATGACACATCGATCGAGGAGCATCTCTTGTCCACTGGCCGTGGTACAACGTTCATTTACGGTCCACTCCCGACAGATCCGCAAATATCCCTCGTCCACAAGACCCTGACTGATCAGGTGGATACTTGCTCCACTGTCCACCAAGATCAGTGGCGTCGGTGTCCGCGACACTCGACGTTGTCAGTCGGTTGCCATAGCTGTGGAGCTGGTTCAGCAAGACGTCGGGTGGTACCGTCATGTCGAGTACACAACCCATTCCGAGAATGTCTTCATCATCCTCCTCTCCAACATTTGCATGCGCTCCTTTCGGTTTCCCGCCTTTTGGACCTTTGCCGCCTTTGGGATCTCCTTTGCCTCCTTTAGGCTTGCCACCTTTGGGACTTCCTTTCTTTTTCTTGTCATAGGGAGATTGTGAACGGTCCTTTCCACCTTTTGGCTTTCCACCTTTCTCACTGCCTTTGCCTTTTCCTTTGTCCTTGTCGGTACGCTTTGGTGACTTTGACCAGCAATCTTTCTCAACATGTCCCGGTTTCCCACATCGACGACATCGAACTTCCTTGCCTTTGCCATCACCTTTTGGTGGGCGATCTTTCCCTCCTTTGGGACTTCCCTTGGGTGGTCGGTCATACCCAACAGGATTTCCTTTGTGACTGTCTCTGGAAAAGTCGAGTTCTTTCGATTGCTGTTCATAGAACTCTAGTGACTCCATCAACTCTTGTAAGGTTGAAGACATCCCATGGAACGCAAGGTGTCTATGAATTTCTTGCGGTAAACATCTCATGATCATTTGGAGATCTGTGAACGCCGCACACTTTTCTCGCAAGCGTGCAAACTCCTGTGTCAGGAACAGACATGTGTCCAATGGATTCTTGGCACTCCCTGCCGATGGACATCCAAGATGTTTCAATCCGTTCACGTCAAGTCTCATCACCGCTTCTCGTAGTGACAGTGCTTCCGCTCGAGTCGTGACTCCAAGCAAGTTGTTGATTCTCCTGAACAACTCATATCCGCAAGTGAGTCCTCCCTGCTCACGTTCCAGCATTGTTGCGATATCCAATCCTCTCTTGTATCCTGACATCGCTTGCTTCATCCAGTGATACAGTTTACTACTCCTCACTGCGGCTTCTTGTGCAAGTTTCCCTTGCTCAATGACAGTTGTCTGTCTTACTGTCTCTTGCAGTTCCGCTGCGTAGCACTCATCCAGAAGACACAACCACGATCCAAATCGTTCTCGAAAGGATAACCAGGTGTTGATCTCATTCCTTCTTCCTGAATCTTTGATCTCAAGTTGTGGACAGTTCGGTATGTAGCTTTCCATCTTTCCTCCGCTACTCCCAGACTTGTTGGGTGTCGAGGTAAACAATGATCCAGTCCTCGGTGTGCTGGGCGCAGCAGCTTCTTCTGCAGCTTTCCTTTCCTCTTCTGCCTTTCTCGCACGCTCATCCGCTTCGCGTTGAGCTTGGTCTTTCCAGACATCAGTCTGCATCTGAACCAAACCTGAAACTAGCTTGGTCAGTTCTGAAATTTGGGCTCCTTGTCCAGCGATCAAGTTCTGCTGTTGAACTATATTCTGACGCTGGTTTCTCAAGACTTCGATCAACGCTTCCTGCGTCAATCCCTGTCCTCCTGTAGGACTCGCAGGCATCTGAGGTGAGTGGAAGGTATCTTGAAACGTCCTCCCTGGTAGGGTAGGGCTGTGCTGGTACCTCTGTAGCACTCGCTGCCGGTTCTGGTGGTGGAGATCTTTCTCGACCTGTGTTCTCTTCCATACTCGCTGGTCGCCTTCTCGTTGGCGACGATGTCCGTCTTTCGGTAGGACTGGACATTTTTCCTGGGAGCTCCACGCTCCGCTACCACGAAAAATATCGGGTAGCAACCTTATACGGTAGACTACCTACTCCCCCTGGATCTTTAGCTCACAACAGGCTCTCACACTCGTCCGGTACGGTACGAAACCTTTCCTTCAAACCTCCAAACACTTCGGAAAACTTCAAAGGCTGCGCAAGCTGCTCTCAGACACTCGCACCCTTTTCTCACACTGGCTAAACGAATTGGCCTTGAGCCAAAATATATCCCGTGGCATTAAACAATACAAAGAACACATCAATAAATTAAAAGTCTCTTAAAGTATCTCCACACGCAAAGGACTCTTTCAAAACTTCCGACGACGCTACAAGTCGCTTTCAAACAATTAAGAAACAAAATGTTGTGCTTCCGCCAGGTTCCAAATCTTTTACAAACAAACTCAAACGAAAATTATGCATCGCAAACTGCAAGCATCGAGCGAGGTGGACATCCCGACATGGAATTTCTTCAACTTGTGCAAGATTGGCAGGGTACGGACCCTCACCAGACGAGGAACCAAGGTTCTCATCCGGGCGCCAATCAGCTGCCTTTCCGCGCCGGTCGAAAGCTAGGCTCGCAACCGGGCTCTACCAGCAACGCACAAGTATGGGCACGTTGGCAGAAATCATTTCCGACCCAAATCGGCAATCTTCTCTGCCAAGGCTGGAGAGGGCAGTCGAATTGCGTTTCCGTCAGCATGTCCACTGCGGCACGTGTAGACTTATGCTGGGCACAGTTCCGTTTTTTGCAAGGCATCAGTCTGGATAGAGTCCTGCAAAGGCCATCGCCATGCGAGGCACACTTCGAAAGATTCGAAAGCAGTTTGGTCAGCAGATGCCCCTCTCCACTTTGTTTTGGCCTGACATTCTCATGAGTCACCTCAGAATTGCGCAATCGAGAAAGACCATGCATGCAGTGCAACAGAGTGAGAGTGAGATGACAAGTTCTGGCAATGCAGATCTTCTAGAACCATGTTCAGTGTGTGTTTTTTTTTGCACGAGTTCGGACGCCATGCGCGGTGTGCACAGGTCATCAGATGAGGATCGAAACTCTGACAACCCCCAAACCAAACAAGCAGAGTTTCACGCTGTACTCAAAAGTGAAACGAGTGAAACTTGAAAGATTGTTCGACTAACTAATCGGGTCTCGAAATCTGCCAGTCATCTGCTGTTCATACTGGGGAGGCCCTCTGTGGCGAGACCGGTTTTTGCTAGGATTTTTGGACGTCCAGAAAAATCGCCTTTTCGAAAGCAATCAAGCTTACGGATCAATGGTCAGCTGCTTTTTTCGGCAGTCTGATTGCAGCCTTGCACGCTTGGTGCATGTTTGTTTGCCACAAAGCTTGTGGTGGACATCCCCCGTAAGTCGACCTGGCGCCCTGAAACGAAACGTTGTGAACCCATTCTTCGTATTCGTGGTCTGTCTTAATTTTGGAAAAGAGGAAAGAAGAGTGGGAAGATGTCAAGAAGGTTTGGCGCCGTGGAGCCTGTCATGTTTTTGCGTATGTTTTACAGGAGCCGTTTCTGGTCGTTCAGGCAAGGAAACCTTGTTTCGTTTTGTTTGA